AATAAACCTGTCAAATAATCCTTCCTTCACGAAATGTGATAGTAGTCCACATACTCGTCCCAAAACACACCACGCAGGCTTGTACTCCCAAATCCCCAAGAGATTAGACAAACATCAATGCTACCAATAGAAGATCCTTTCTACGAAGTTGTCCTTGCAAATACTAAAGAATGGGGGTGGGGGGGCAATCAAAACAATTTATTAGAAATTTATAAAATCAGTAAGGAAATCACTAGGATTAAATAAAATATATAGGCAAAGAATCTGAACAATTAACATAAAAGGGTAATTTTATTTTTTTTAAGATTTTATTTATTTATTCTCAGACATAGGGGAAGGGAGGGAGAAAGAGAAGGAGAAAATCATCAATGTATGATTGCCTCTCATATGCCCCCAGCTGGGGACCTGGCTGGGGACCTGGCCTGCAACCCAGGCATGTGCCCTGACTGGGAATCAAACTGGAGTCTCTGTGGTTCACAGGCCGGCACTCAATCCACTGAGCCAAACCAGCCAGGGCCATAAAAGGGTAATTTTAAATAGATAGTAAATAGGAAAAAATTTCAGTCTCATTAGCATTAAAAATACTCATTAAACAAAAAGATTTAATTGTAAGCAATTTGATAATTTAAGTTATATTGTTTAATGCTGGTGCAGTACAATGAGTCAGATGCAATTATCAAGTGAACTTGGAAATGGGTTCAGTTCTCCAGAACACTATTTGGCAAAGTGTCTCCAAAACCTTAGTTCACAATCTTTGACACAGTAATGTTCAGTTTCTAGGGAAAATTTCATAACGTCTACAAAATATCTTTGCACATGGATATTCACCTTAACACTATTTTAATAAAGAAAATTTAGAGCCTTATAAATATCCAACAATAAAGGAAGTATTATTTAAATTCTTTCTCAGTGATGTTTATGGGGAATTTTAATAATGGGAAAAGTTTTGTGATAAAGATTACATAATTGTATGATTTCAAATCACATATGTCAAAATATCAATTATGTCACATGTGCACAGGTGAAAACTGAAAGTAAACATGCCAAAAAGTTATGAATACAGTAGTGTCCCTCTGAGTCTTGAAGTCTTTGGGGTGATTCTTTATCTTCATTCTACCTTCATGTATTCTCCATAGTAGAAATGCATTAGTTTAAAAATGAAAGAGAAAAATAAACACTCCTTTAGATGATGACATTTCACATTTTAAAAATCTCAACGGGGGTGACTCTTCCCCCATGGGGCTCTACACTGCTTTAAATGCCGAAAGTTTCCATCTAATGAGCCCCAAAGTTTGAAAGTAGAAGCCAAAGCTGCCTCCCGCTTCCTCTCCTCCCATCCATGTCTGTTCGGCCCGTTTTTCCAGGACACTGCCTGTCAGTCCAGCCCACACTGCTCTCCTGGCTCCCGTGCCCTCAGTCTGAATCATAGTCTTTTCTTTCATTCATCTGTTTCTTGGTGACTATCACGTTCCTTTCAAAGTCACAGAACAAACATTTGCTGAGCACGTCCTCCAGGCCGGGCTCTGCACTAGAGTCTTGACGTCCCTGGCAGGAAAATCAGTGCTTCCCATGTCTTGGGCATGGCCTGGGGCTGGGCACAGTGAGGGAAGAGCCAGTCAGGGGGCACCACTGACAAAGTCTTACACTCAGTCTCCTCCCACTGCCCCGCCCCCCCGACATCGCACCATCTCAGCTGCCTCTTCTCCTGAGCAGGCCTCACTCATCTTGTCACCAAGGGGGACCCTTACCCGGCCCCAACCTCCAGTCTCCAATGCTCCGTTCCATCTCCACACTCTACCTGACTCATCTTTCTAAAGTGAAAATCTACTTAGCCCTACTCAAAACCCCTCAATGCCCCTCACTGCCACCCTCGTTCCCCATCACTGCTGCTCCTAAGACAAATTCTAAACTCTTTAACGTGGCTCTGTACCGGCCCTTACTAACCCAGCAGCCTCGTGGGGCACCTCTCATTTCCTCACATTTTTATGTAATTATACTCCACGAGTTTTGCTGGAGCACCTTCTAGGTGTCAGACACAATGCTGGGTGCAGGGTATTGGCCATGAAAAAAAGACACAACCTAGGCCTGGAATTCAGTCTTCACTACAGCTGCTCTCTGCCCTGCTATTCAGAGTGTGAAGTGTGGACAACAGCACTGCCGTCATTTGGGAGCAGAATCTCTCCCCCTTCCCCAGACCTACTGAATGGAAATAGGTCGATTCACGGGTGATGTCCCAGGCATGTCCAAGTCTGAGAAGCCCTGCTCTGTGTCTCTGGAAACTTCAATGCTCACTCTCCCCTGCTGCCTCTCCACAAGCATTCCAATGGCCTGGGGTACTCTCCGAGCTTCTCTCTGCCTAACTCCACCTATCCGTCAGTGTCTGCGTGGACTTCCTGTCTGCTAGGAAGACTTCCTCCCCTGACCCCCTAAGGCAGGGATAAGGAACTACCTTATGTGGTGTCACCATCAAAACACCACCACTCTGTCCTGCAGATGCTGCCCCCACCCCTGTAAATGCTCTAAGAGTAGAAGCTGCATCTGTCTCTCCAAAACCACATTCCTGGCAGCAAGCCTAGTGTCGGACATATTGGTCAATAAAAAGCTGTTGAAAAAAAGCATAGAATTTGGTGCAACTGGAATATAATTCCTAGGCTTAACAAATAATTTTAAGTTTCTAAATTCCTAAATTCCTCAGGAGATGGTAGGATTTTGAGGAGTCGGGGGCATGAGCAGGTTCCTGGGAAAAAGCTAGCCCTGCCTGCATCAACCTCATCCCTCACATGTTATGTGTAGACCTAGCCTCTATGGAGCCCCTGCTAGCCCAGCCCAGCAGACCTGTGTGTGTGAATGAGAAAGAGAAGCTCCCCACTCAGCCCAGATGCAATCTAGGCGAGGGGGCACGGAGGCCTCAGCAAGCAAACCACAGGTTGGCTTCCAGTTGCCCCACTATGTGTGATATCGCCTGCACCACCACATGTGTTGGCCCTGCCTTGTGCCCACAGTCACGCTGTCCTCCCCATCTAAGCAGAATGGCTGTGCAGCAGGCACTGGAAACCAGTTCTTGGCTCTGCATGACCTCAGGTGAGGAATTCAAGTAGGGAACTTCTTACACAATGGAGCTAAGTAACATCCGCCATGCCTCCTTCACGGGGCTTAGAGAATGAACGTTTTAAAATAGAGCGGAGTCATGCCTTCCACAGACTTTATTCTCTAAAGCCAAAGGGTAAGGTAAAAAGTGCACTTGCCCAAAATCACTGCTGAAAATGCCTTATCGCCACATGTGAAGTAGAGCCCATGCCCAGGCTGACATGCAGCGGTTAGCCCGCCTCCACCAATACCCAAGAAAGGGAGGGAGGCTGGTTCTTTACAGAACACAGTGGAACTAACTGGCCTACATGCAGAGGCAATGTCTGCCTGAAGTACAGAACTCCATTCACCAGAAGCACCTTCACTGCGATGAGATACAATATGAGACCTTCACCCCTGGAGGAAGAGGGAATTTCCTTTTCCCATCTCACACTCACTTGGGAGTGCATGCTCACTGAAGGGAAAGGCAAGTAAAATCACTAACTCAATTTAATTTTGTGTCCTTCTCTTTCCCTTTTGTGGCAAACGCATATAGCTGAATTTGAGCAAAATAAATGCACAGTCTAATGAAGCTTGAAACCTCTGAAGCAAAATATAAATGCAAAAGTTATGTTGGTGATACACCTGACCAATTTGTATTCTACATTGTGGGGGAAACCACACTTCAGTACACAAAGCTGTCAGTGTGGAAAACTTACACTATCACCTGGATACACGCATGCCGAGAAGGCCACTGCCAGCACTGACTCTCCTGGTCAGAGCTGTCGCTCGGCGTTGTGTTCCCCGTAGTGAAAGGACAGGCAGAGAACCTTGCACGGTCTTCACCTCATGGCTCTTATGCCGAGTAGTGAAGTGGGTGGCGAGACCCACTGGCTGAGGGAGTGAGATGGAGCAAAGCAACATCTCTGACACAAAAGCTACAGGACCAACCCTCTCAAATTGGTGGAGGCCCAGAGCTGGTCTGTCAGGTCAGCATCTGCATGGGCCACCAAGCCAACAGCCCTTTCAGTTGCCTACTCCAACATGCCGATGGAAAAATAGTCCCCACTCCTTCCAGATAAAAGCAGTGTGTGCCCTCTGCTTTCCAGAGCAACATGTGTCACTTTGAACACCGCCAAAATAAACACATCCTCACGCACCACCTGGGCCACTCTGGGAATGTCCTATTGCACCTAGGGCCTACCATTCAATCCTACATATAAAGAACAGGATTCTTTACAAACAGAATAGCATTTTTAAAAACAAAGCACTCTTCAAAACCTCTGCAGCCCGCTATGGCCATATGCCCCACTTTCCCTCCTTCCAATGCAGCTAATCTCCATTCTCCTAAGAGACAAGCAAGCTTTAACCTTGTGCATGGTAATGGACCTAAAGCTTCTTTAACGTACTTTGGGGAAGTAATCATCCAAAATAAATACAAATTAACAATGCACTGTGAGTATTAATACTGTCTATAATGGAAAACTGAGGTCATCGGGAGAGCAAAATTTTATTCAAAAACTCGTAATTGGGCACCTACCGGCATTGCCTGCTGTGCTAAGTGCTGCGGAAGACAGATACGAAGATGAACGGCACACAGTTTCTGTCCCATCTCTTCCCTTCCCCCTAGAAGGGGTAAAGTCTACAAGTGCTTTAAGCCAGCAATTCACCATAAGTAAACCAACAGGAAAAACACTAACTCTTGGCAGGGAAAAGGTCAAGAAGTTTTGATGGGATAGTGACAAGTTCAAATGCTCCCAGGAAGAACCATCTAACTCATCAATCCATACCATTTTTTCTAACACACACAACAGCTTCAAGTAGCCATGTTTAGCTAACGGGAGAGAAGAAAACCCAAGGCAGAGACAGGAAGAGGAGGTATTTTACTACGCTAAGCACATTAAGACATGGTTCAGAATAATCTAGATACTCACTGTTCTTCTTGTACATCAAAATTTCGAAGGAATTCATCTCATAGTTCTCAAATGTTTGCCGCACCTTTTCAATTGTATCTTTATCAGTCAGCTCCCCATACATAAAACTGCAAATGAACCAAAGAGTTCAAGTTAGATTAGCAAATATTTATTATTCTATCTGCATGTGTTAAATATCTGTTCTACACCTAGCACTGTGCTATGTAGAACAAACACACACATACACACAGATATAAAAACATTCAATCAAAGAGGCTTTACTAATTCCACTATGATCAAGATTCCATCAGAGCCCCCCAAAATACAGTCTAACAAGAGAGACCACTGGAAAAGGACAGGTCAGAAAACAGGACGGCCAACACATAAGGAACTACCGCACACGAAACAGTCACAGAATGTTGCCTGAGTGGTTGGAGAAGGCTTCCCAAAGGTCAAAAGAAGTGAGTGCTAAAAAGCAATGGCAATTAGCATGAAAAGAACACTCCAGGCAGAAGATGAGCATGTTCAAAGGCACAGAGGCGAGAGTGAGGTTCATCCTGGAACTGAATATAGTTCAGTTCAGTGTGACCGGGATACAGACAATGAGGGGAGTTTGCCACTGAATGTAGAGAGGTGAGCACAGGCCAGTTCGTGAGGAGAGCACGGCCCTGTATGCCATGCGAATCATCTGCACTTCATCCTGAAGGAACTCTTAGCAAAGATGCAGAGCAAATTTGGACTATAGATTTTTTTCTTCTACTTCCCAATAAAATAAAAAATTACAAAAATTCACCAACCAAACAAGAACAGGGATGAAATTTGTTGCTCCAAAAATTAATACACAGCTGAAGAACCAGAAGATTCAGCTCTTTTTCCTACCCTCTGCCCTGCCCCACAAAAAATGAGAGAGAGCATTGGGTTAAAAAAAAAACTGAGGTAAGGAAATCCTGCAAATTCTTACTCTCTGCTGCTCACGATTAGAGAAGAGGAGACTAAGGGGGTAAAGCATGGGAAAAAGTCAGGAAAAACTGGTGAGCAGAAGTTCCTGCCTGCTGGTGCTGGTTCTCAGCAGAGGCAGAAAATTCTCCAGACTATCCATGTCCCTTGGCCCCACTGAACTTGGTCTGAAACCCAGGGTGTGTCCCTCTAAGAATAAGATACACCAAGTAGGCAGAGCAACATGGCACAGGGCATTAACAAAACGTGAGAGGACAAAACCCACCTCCCAGTGGACCTGGAAAAGCCAGTCCTCTGACCAAGGATGCAGCGAGCATCTATCCTGCCCACCCCAGGCCTCCAGGCAACAACAACCTGGACAGCAACACTCAGCCCTCAGGTCTCCGGTAAAGCAGAAGCAGTGCCAGGGGCTCCTCAACAATATGCTCCCCATTTTCTAAAACTGTGCATACCAAATGCAGTCTAACTGGATTGTGATGACTTATATCACAGAATTATAGAATTTCCTAGCTAAAAAGGACCTCAGAGGTTATGGAATGTAATTCCTCAACCACCAGGTCAAGCGCCATGCTTAGCTTGATACTGGAGCAGCCTTGGGCATACTGCAGATTTCCTTCCAATTTCCAGGCCCCTGTAAGAAAAGTCTCCTGGTTGTGGACTTTATGAATTCTGTGTCACTTCCATTTATTACATCTCTTCCCAGCCCACTGAGAGCTGTTATTATCTGTGGCTCCTCTGTACCTATCTCTTGTATATTCTGCCTTTGGGCTGTGTTCTTCGTCTGTAAACCAGGAAAAGAAATGACCAAGCTTGTTGGATTATCTTTAAAATGAAGAATAGATGAAGACTAAATTAGCCCTGCTAAGAGCAAGAGGTTTTCTCCTAGAAGGCAGAAACTTAAGATCTATGACCATTTCATTCAGCCGGTTGTTCACAGGCCTTTTCAGCTTCCACTTTCTCTGAGTTAACGTGCTAGGTACATGACCTCCATGTAACTGATGCGAAGCTGTAAATGCCTGCAATTTCCTTCACAAAGTAAAACAAATGCCTGTAAAATGGAGTCTTCGTATGAAAGAAGTGCCATAACGACATCCAGCTCCCATTCTCTCCTGTGCTGTTTAAAGCTGTAGAGTTAAGATTCCTTTGCCTGAACACTAGATTTCCGATGCCTGCAATGCAAGAATTAAGTGAAAGAGGCTCCTGAACCATAGGGAATACAGCTAGCACAATGTATGGTTACTTTATTTCTAGAGAAGGGACAGCTTCAGAGAATTAAGCGAGCTTCTTACAATTGTATGTAAAAAAAAAAAAACTTGGCTAAATGAGCACACATATAGGCTTTTCTTAAAGTATCTGACTCTAGCCCGTAAGAAGCAGGAATGGTAAGGAGCCCTGGCCACATGGCTCAGTTGGCTGGAGTGTGCTTCTGTGCACCAAAAGGTTGCCCGTTCAATCCCCAGCTGGGGCACATGCAAGATGTTCCTCTCCCATAGGTCCTTGGATGAGTATAAAAAGGAAAGAAAAGATGGATAAGGAAAGGCTGCTTCAGTCCCACTATAAAGTGAAGCTAACTCTCCCGGTCTGTTCTGACTGCATATGTGCATATACAGATATAGGTCTAGACACAGGCCCTTAGGAGGATAAATGCATAACCAGAATGTAAGAGGATTCTATTGTATTACTTAAGAGTCATCATTTCTAAACCTTTGAGTATTGGGGGGGGGGGGAGGAGGTAGACCGAGAGGGTCTTAACCTTTCTATTTCCCAGTCCTCAAAAGCTAAAATTAAAGAAAATGGTAATATTTTCTAAACATTTCCTATTTTTCACCAAACTTGGTTGACTTAATACCATGGAAATTCCGCTTCTGAAAAACAAAGGCGATGCCTGAGTCAGACAGGTTTTCTACCCTTCATAGATGAATTTGCCTCTTGACTTGGAAGGCCTGGGAAAACGATTCTGCTCCATGAGACACACTGAAGACAGAGGACTCCGAAGGAAGAGGGGAGTGCGAGGAGCCAAGGGCTGTGCTGAGTGAGCCAAGGCCTTGCCAGGGCGCTGCAGGGAAAGGCCAGGCAGGGGGCAGACCACGTGCTCCACTCAACACCTCGAAGATGCTTGAAAAGAGCCGTTCTAGCACCACTGCCCAAGGGGTGCTGCTTGGTTAGCAGCCCTGTCAAATACACAAGCTATGCTGTTAGCACCGTTTGCCTCTGCCTTTGCATTAGGGATCAGAGACAGGTGTAACAAGAATTAGAAGGCAACAAAATATCAGTTCTGTTTTTTTTCTGATGAAAAGCTCTATGAACAAAACCCTCATCTCCAACACTGTAGTTATTCTCTCAAATACCCATACATCCTAAAAATTAATCATCTAAAATTTTATTTAATTTTATTTAAACTTCTTTCACATTCAATTTTATCTAACACTTCATAAACTTCTGAGTTCACATTTTATAGATAAAATGATTTTTCTGAGTTTTTCTAGGTTTTCCCATGTCACCAACTGGGAGCTCAGCAGTGTGGGGACCGTGTTTTAAGCCTTTGATTTCCCCAGCACACACAGTGTGTGAACCGGAGATGGTCTTACCACAAATATTCCTGAAAGAACACTGAGTGAGAGAAAGGCAATTCCCACGCTGAGAAAGCCATTTTCTTTTTCCGTAAGATACCATAATACATTGTCCAACAGAACAGCCCCCATCATGGATACCTGCAGGTACTGCTTTTCTGCATCACTTCTGCCCTGTGATAGCCAGACAGCTTGCAAAATCCGTCATTGCTGTACACGATAGGCCAGTCCACTATCTGAGCATTCCCCAACACGAAATTAGTATCTGTTGAAAAACAAAAGGAGGAGGAGGAGGAGGAGAAAAGGGCACATGAAGCAAGATATTAGTTGAGACTCAATGAGGACATAAATAATGTCAACCAAGCCAGGTAATTTTGTTACCCTCCATAATAGTCTCTTGAACAGGAAAATGACCCTTCAAGGAATACAAAACAACAGTAATTTAGAGTGAATAATTTGAATGCAAATGCTAACGTTGCCATACTCCAAAAAGAAATTAGCAAAGGAAACATGCTTAACCAACCAACCAACAAATCCTACAGAAATCCAGCGATTCCTATGAGACATTTTCTAGTCTGAATTTTTGTTCTCAATAAAAGTATTCCGGTAATATAAAACAAGAAAGAACCCAAGATAATTTCTTCTGGGCTCCATCCAGCATCTTAGGCTTGTCAGTCTTTTGGCCTGAAACTACAAATTGGTCTTGGTGACCCTGATTAACATGTGCCCATCCTAGGAGGAGAAGGACTTCTTGGAGAGACACAGGAAGGGGAATGCAGGATTGCCTCTTGGAACATACACGCCACAGACAGCCCTCCTCTTAGTGAGAAAAAGACTAGCCCCTCCTAATACTAGAGTTTTGGTGGAGATGCTTGCAGGACAACACGTTCCTGCTGATTTGGAGATTTTGTAGCCACAGTAGCTGCATTTCAGAGCTCCTTCACAGAGCACCAGCCCACCATTCACCCCTGCTGCAGGGATTAAGTAGGCCAGATATGTTTGGCTGCTTGGTGTATTCTCACCACTTCCCACACTTTTGAAAATCAAGTCTCCCACCTTTATTATCCTCAGGAAATCAATTGTCCCTTTTTTCTTTTCAAGACCTTGAATTAAGCAAATAATATCCAGAATTTAAATGTGGTCAGTATTTTAGCTTGGCTCTCTCTTCTGTACAGAAGAGTCACCCATTCCAAAAAAGGAAGGAAGGAAGGGGAAGAAAGGAAGATGGAAGACAGGCACATACCCTTCTTTTCTTGTAAATGGTATGGGTTTTTTATATATGCATACTGCTTAGAGTAAAATAACAACATACAAATATAGTGTCCTCATTTAATTGGGTGGTTAATTTTGTTTTAGTATAACATTTACAATTTATTCACAATAGGTACCCATTCTTTCCTATCTAGTGAGGCGGAGGAAGGAGAAGAAGGAGGAATAACTAAATACAGTAATCTGTTCTTGGAAATGCCTATTTGAAAGAAACATAAAATACAACTTTCATGAAGTTCATCTGAAAACCTGCCAATTTCATAAACATGCTTTTAATGAAAATCTATAACCAGTCCTTCCCCCATCTCTCCCATATGTTCTTGTACACAGGCAGACCTCGGAGACATTGCAGGTTTGGTTCCAGACCACCACAATAAAGTGAATGTCACAATAAAGTGAATATCACAATAAAGCAAGTCACCTTTTTTTTGGTTTCCCAGTGTATATAGAAGTTATGTTTATACTAAATTGTACTCTATTAAGTATGCCATAGCATATGTCTAAAAAAACAACACACGCGTCTTAATTAAAAGATACTTCATTTCTTACAAACACTACCATCATCTGAGACTTCAGCAAGTCATAATCTTTTTGCCTGGTGGAGAGTCTTATCTCAATGTTGATGGCTGCTGACTCAACCCAGTGGTGGTTGCTATAGATTGGGTGACTATGGCAATTTCTTAAAATAAGGCAACAATGCAGTAGTTTACTGCATTGATTGACTCTTCATCAATAATTTTTTGTAATATGTGATGTTGATTGATAACATTTTACTTACAGAAGAACTTTCAAACTTGGAGTCAGTCCTCTCAGACACTCCCACTGCTCAATCAAGTATAATTATGAAATATTCTACACTCTTCCTTGACATTTCAACAATCTTCACAGAATCTTCACCAGCAGATTCAAGGAGCCACTTTCTTTGTTCATCCATAAGAAGCAAATTTTTGTCTGTTCAAATTTCGTCATGAGATTTCCGTAACTCAGTCACATCTTCAGGCTCAATTCTATTTCTAGTTCTCCTACTATTTCCATCACATCTGCAGTTACATCAACTTCTTCAAACTCTTGTTAATGTTGCTATTTTGACCTCTTCACAAGAATCACAAATGTTCTCAAGGGCATCTGGAATGGTGAGTCCTTTCCAGAAAGCTGTCAATTTACTTTGCCCATAGAAATTACTATCTATGGCAGATACAGGCTATTGTATTTTCTTATAATTCCTGTGTTCACTGGAGTAGCACTTTTAATATCCTTCAAGAACTTTTCCTTTGTATTCACAACTTGGTTACCTGTTTGGTACAAGAGGCCTAGCTTTCTGTCTCTTTTGGCTTTCAACATGCCATCCTCATTAAGCTTAATCATTTGTAATTTTTTATTTAAGGCAAGAGACATGTAACTCTCTCTTTTACTTGAACACTTAGAAGTCATTATAGGGTTATTAATTGAGCTAGCTTCAATATTATTATGTCTCGAGGAATTGGGAGGCCTGAGGAAGGAGAGAGACAGGGAATGGCTGGATGTGGAGCAATCAGGACACACGCAAAATTTATTAATTAATTTCACTATGCTACATGGGTGCTTTCTATGGCACCCTAAAACAATTACAACAGTAACATCAAAGATCCAAATATAATAATAATGAAAAATGTTACATATTGAAAGAATTGTCAAATTGAGATGCAGAGACACAACATGAGCAAATGCTGTTGAAAATAGCACCATAGATGTGCTTAATACAGGGTTGCCACAAACCTTGAATTTGTATAAGAAAAAAAGCAGTATCTGCAAAGTCCAATAAAGTGAAGTGCAATAGAATGAGGTATGCCTGTACCTTTTGAGTGCCCACTAGGTCTCAAGCACAATGCAAGACCCTCGTCATATCTACCTTGGTATGACATGGTCCGTGCACTCCAAGAACTTTTCAGAACAAATAGACATGTGCACGACTAACTAAAGAAATAGGTGAGAAAATGATTAATTCTGTTTGAGGGAAGTAAAGGACTGTGATTCAGAGGGACACACTTGAACTTGCTCTAGGCCAGAAGGCTGAGTAAGACTCATTTAAACATTTTTGAATGCCTAATATGTAACCAGTACAGATGATGCAAAATGATATTTATAAAAATGAAAATATGGTGCCTCCCTTTGGTAAATGTAACAGGTTGTAGAGGAAGAGAACATCATATACAGAGGATTCAACATAAATAAAGGTCTGGCAGCAAGGGATGCATAGCAGACTGATGCAGACAGACAAAGGGCAGGCAACCAGAAGGGGATGAGCCTGAAGGATCTTCCTGGGAAGGCTCTTCAGGCTCAAGATCTTTGACGCCTAATGTGGGTTTTCTCTCCCTGAATAAATTCACATGTCTTGAACTGAGCAACTAAGCCTTGAGAGAAGTACAAACTTCACTAACTTACCGCTAAGTGGATATGAAGCTTAGTCAGTTTAACTATTTTTCTGAGCTCCTGAGACTGTAACCAATTTCCCTCGGAAAACCTAGAGTAAGAGGGAAAAACCGAATGAACTTACCTGTGGCTGATGCCCCACTAAGATTATGTGCTAAGAGGGAATTATAGCCAGTTACACTGATAATGTTTTGACTACATGTGTTTATCTTCTTTTCTACCCTGTGCCTCACTAAAATAAAAGCCAATAAATTTAAAAGGTAAAAATCCACAAAAAAAGAATAGAGTAAAAATATCAAAAGAAAAAAATGACTATAGAAGCAGACAAATATAGGAAACAAAGAAGAATTTTTTTAAATCCCTAGTTTTCTAAATATTCAGACAAATTCAAGATATTAGACAAAAACAGGATACTATGGTGTGTGTGGGGTGGGGATGGGAGGGGCATTTGAGAACAAACAAAAGCTCCTAAAAATTAAAAGTGAGTAAAGATTTAAAATTCAACATAAATGTTAGAAGACAAAATGAAATTTCACAAAGTGTAGTAAAGAAAGAGAAGGAAATAAGAAACATAAAAACCAAATAAGACATAGAAGATCAATCCTGGAGAAACAGTATGCATCCTAATAAAAACAACAGAAAGAAGAATGCAAGAAAAGGACAGAAGACATTTAAAAAAATTTTAAACCATCAAATAGAAGGGTAAAATAATGATATTTTCAGGTATGCAAAGATCTGGGTAATTTATTGCCCATATATCTTTTCCTAGGGAGTTACTTAATAATGTATAACAGCAAAAATGTGAGAAAAAAAGAAGAAAGAACATGGGAACTAGGGAAAAACGGCTCCAAATGTAGAAAGCGGGGGGGAAAGGTAGTAGAAAGCTTTCAATAAATACACAAGGGTCCAGAGAACAGAACTTTCAGAAGACAGAGATCTAGTGATAAAAAACATAAAAATTCAATAAAGCTATATAATTTGGGGGGCAGGGAAGGAAATTAGAAGCATTAAAAAAAGCTGTGCAAGAAAGGAAACCAAAATATACTATATCACATCATTGTCATAATAATGTAAACATCTTATTAATTTCCAGTTTGTAAAACAAACACAGTCAAACATGGAATCTTTAATTACAAGTATCTGAATATAACCTCTTCAATTCTGACACTGTAAAAATACAAATGATAAGCTTAGAGAAATAAAAGAGAACAATCATGAGATAGTGTCTAGAACTGCTTTAATAAAAAAAGAAAGGTATTAAAATTTTACTTAAAATTGCAAAAATAACCAATAAGGGAGCAATATAATCTTAGAAGGTAGAAAGTAAATAAAGTGAGCTAAAACTCAGCTAAATTAACAGAAGCCACCAGATACTTAAAATTAATAAAACTAGAAATAGAGGTAAACACGCTTTGCCTCCATGCAAAACTATAGCAAAAAACACAATTAGACTAAAAACAACATAACCCAGAATTGTCAGAAAATCAAGCCATGTGGATGTCCAACAACCAAGGATTTAAAGAATCCACATTATCCAGAGGGGTAGGAGGGTCGGAGACATGAAGAGGAGAGGAGAAAGCAGAGAGA